TACTCAGAAATTTCCGTTAATCTAAGGAAAGACTATACGCTCGCTTTGCTCGCTCCGTACCCAGCCAGCAATTCGTCCGGGATGCGGTTGGGGACGGTCGGGATAGGCTCCGGATGTCCCGACTTGTCCCTACCGGGTTGGGTAGGCTTGGGTTGTCCCAATCGATACCGGACCTCGATGGCCGGCGGTAGGGGCGACTCGGGATTTCCGGACCGCATGCTTAATCGGTTGGGACGCGGTACGGATAGCCCAATCGAATCCCATGTTTAGACAGGCTTGTGATTTACGTTGTTATCCCAACCGATCTGAGAAGGCGCTTCGGGCACCATATCCGGTGGCCCAGAAGGCCTGGAAAAGCAATCAGATGGGCCGCGTGCAGGCAGACGCGTCCTCTGAGCGCAGCGGCCAGTCTAGCTGCCGCGTTGGTCAAGTGTCGATCCCTCCTTTGAGCTGCTGCCTCAGGATATTGCTTTTGAACTGGCTCTAGCAAGCGGTCGGTTCAACTGTTGTCGTTGCAGGGAAATCAGTCCGTCTTTGAGAACAGGGTGAGCATAGTGCACACTTCATCCGTGATGTAGGGAGCGGGAAAGCTATAGGTAATAGAAATTGTTATGTTCGTTGTGGTTGTACGGCATGTTAATTACACTCGTGCTGTCGCATGTTTGATCAGTTATCATGGACAGAAGATGTTTGGTCTCATTGTCAAGTGTCGTTAATGGTTGCATTGTAGGTTTGAAACCTGTATTACCAGGCATACCATGTGAAATGTCAGATGTGGGTTATTTCTTAGTGATTTTTAGTGTGTCCCAGACTTTGATTAATAACCTCTTGGTCATTTTCAGATGCTCTCTTTGCACAGTGGTGAACCGCCCGACCAGATGCCAGCCGTCTAGTTTCGCGGTGGCTCTCTGAAGCTCGTGACGGCAGACGGACACACTGTCCGCAGAGGAGCCGACACGAACAAGGCGCAGGCCTGCTATAATGACTGTGAACACCGGAAGTGAGTCCGCTGTGCCAGCGCCTTGCAGCGGCGCTAAGATGATGGCCGACGCCACGAATGTGCTGGCCAGGCTGTGAATTTGTGAAAATTTGACCTGTGTGCAACCAGTAAATTTGTGAATATATTTCAGTGTCCAATGCAATTCATTTTGTCGTGCAGGCATTATAAAGGTTGAGTTGGAGAATAATGAAGAGGCGAGGGGGTTGCGGTGGCGCAAGCAAAGTGGTCGCATCTGCATAACAGCAATCTGCGGTTATAAGACTGCGGTTAATATGTCAGATGCCTGCGGTATTCCCAAACCGGCCGTGCGGGCCGAGTTGGGACATCCCGATCGGGATCGGAGTTCATCGCTTGTTAAAATGCCATAAGGCGGTCCGGATGCGTGCGGGATTTCCGAACCGGTTGTACGGGGAGATTTAGGGAATCCCGATCGGGATCAGAGTTCAGCGCTTGTTAAAACGTCATAAGGCGGTCCGGATACGTGCGGGATCTCCCAACCGGCCGTGCGGGGTAGGTTGGGATATCCGGACCGTTCCAGCCCGTACAAAGTGTCTCATTTCCCAATCCCGTCCCACTCCGGTCCCGATCGGGGTGGTGCGGGCTGAGTCCGAAAATCCCGATTGGGAACGGAGTGGGATTGCTGGCTGGGTAAAGACTCCGCTCGCTTCGCTCGCTCCGTAATCAATAAATTTACTTACCTGCTATCTCTATACATCTTCCTAAAATGTATAATAGGCCAAAAACACCTTCAACCAAACTCTCTAATCAAAGATGTATAATAATGGTAGTATTGCGATTAGTGCATCAGCAAATAAAGGTGTCTTGCAATATTTTTTCGAGTGAGGAAACAATCAGATTTGAAATTCTAGTATGTAGGTATGTCAGGTCAGTCTGAAGTGCCTTATGATGGTGTTTTAACGGTAACAACATGCTTATCTTGACCACGCAGTTCATATAATTCACAAATGTTTTGGAAAGCAAAATAAATAAGCACGTCAGCTCGAGAGCAATCGATGACAGGGCTACATGTAGATATACAACGAAGCATGCGAAGTGTATGTATGTATACCGCTGACCAGAACAATGGAGAGAGAGAGAGAGAGAGAGAGAGAGAGAGAGAGAGAGAGAGAGAGAGAGAGAGAGAGAGAGAGAGAGAGAGAGAGAGAGAGAGAGAGAGAGAGAGAGAGAGAGAGAGAGAAAGAGAGAGGAGGGGAGGAGAAAAAGACGGAGAGAGAGAGAGGGGGAAGAGAGGGGGAGAGGGAGAAAAAAAGAGAAGCTTCACTGAATATTGTTCTGAAAGCCTCAATAAGGTAAGTAAGTACTCGAGAATTAACAACATCGATAGTGTATGTCTTTACAATAAAAAACTTGAAGTAATATATAGTTATGTGTCACTATCTAATTGTTGTTACAAATGATGTTTATACCTAACCGTTTAATATTACCGTTAGGTGAACAAAAGATGTTAAACAAACTTATTTGGTTATCTGTCGACACATTATGTTACAATATACTTGTCAAATACCGTTGCCAATATAGCATAGGTCACGTTGAGTTTCGCTGAACATTGACGAAGCAAATCCATAACCAAGAATTTCGAATATATGCAGCCAATGCAATCAACTATCAACAAGTTGAGGGCCGTTTTGAATTTTTGAACTTACATCTCCTAAGCTAAATTTCAATCAGATTAAATATGGAAACAGTTAAAAAATTGCAGTTAAAAAGGGATAAACAGTTACGTGCAGCGAACTGTGTCTGGGATCTGGGATCCTCATTGATTTTACTACAAACTGCATGCCAGGATCGATCATTAAATTGAATCTCAAGTAGCTCGCTTAGAAATCGGGTGCTGGATCTGTTTTCTCAAGGTGATTTTCTAACAAAACTACGGATTAATATTCAAGATATGTGTGGATCTCACAACATGTAACCTGTGAAACAGGGTGGTTACCAAGTAATTAATTTTTCTAAAGTTCATTTGGTTTATATAATGTACTTTGCTTTTGATATCTAAAACAGATACATTGCAAATGGTGACAGATGTTCTATAAAAGAGAACTTGTGCTACGACCCATCTTCTTGCAGAAAATCTTGTGCATACAATCGTGTTGTACCTAATTGTGTTAGAACCGTGCACATATTTATCTTAGTAGAGCTCCACAAAATGAGAAACTGGATCTATGGTCTAACCGGTACTATCCTAGATCAAAATTCTAGAGATCTCAGACCTCAGGGTAGCTCGCTCAGATCCATGTATATTGAATGACCTATGTTGTAGTGCTTGCTGGAGGATCATCAATGCTTAAGTACATAAATACCTGCTATAACCTTATAGTCTCTTCTCTTGACCTTTCCTCTTTACAACACATGTTATGACAAAATTAAGCCATATTCCCAATCAATATGACAAATGTTTCCTGAAGTCTGCTATACGCTCATATAAAAAATTGAAGTTTTGTTGAAGACAAAAGACTGCAGGCTGCCAAATAAGTCGCCAGCCAGGTAACTTGACCAACGGGGTGGGACTAGTTGACCGTTGACAATTAGAGGTCGGGATCCTAGGTTTTAAGTAGAGCAGCCCCAGTGTCCTCATTGATAAGTCTCATATAACGACACTACATTAAATTGGAATATATCAAATACATTCACCTATTGTGCCCCCTTCCCATCGTTTCCCATTTCAGAGCACTTGACCTCGCCCGTAGACCACGTGACCAGAACCCGGTAGTTATTCTGCGGAGATTCTGAGAGTGCAGACAACTCCCTTGAAGGTAGACTGTGCCGCAATAGCACCTCTGGCAGTATTGAATCCAGCTGGATCGTCACCACGCTCTTAGAAACTCGGCATGTCCAGTAAAGCAGCACTGAAAGCACTGGCCAAGCTGCCCCGATAGCACCGGCCAAGTAACCCCTCATTGATATACTGAACAGTTTTGTCTATAACATCGTCACGATTTTTGGGAAAAGGACAAAAGTGTTCCAGTATATAAATGCAAAACTCACCAGCGCCTGGCACCATGATTTTGAATTTCTTTTATATCCAAATCGGTCCATGTTAGGCATACCATGTTTACAACGAAACAAAAATTCCCCATTTTTCTTGAAACATAGTTTTTTTGCTAATTTAGTGGAAAGTTACGGGGGGGGAGGGGCAGGAGTTTGAGACTTTTCAAATGCTGAAAATAATTATGACAGATTATTACAGAGTGGAGTCATTTAACTGCCATATGTCAGCACGGGCGGGAGCGGCCAATTTACCCTACCGGCCAATTTACCCCTACTCCCTATATAGGAGATCTAACATTTCGCAAACCACAAATGGGCGCATGACTTCCATGGTCATTTAGGCGAAATCCAACAAAAATCTGTCGCAAAATAAATGAGGAGCTCACGATTGACGTGACGTCAAAACAGCAACCAACTCCCGCTTCAGAGGGGCACTCGCAAGCGGTGGTCTGTTACACACTTCATAGATAAGCTTGTTTTTCGGGGAAGTTACGATGAGAGATGAAAATATTAACGAAAAACAAGCCTCCAGCAGCGCTCACCACGAGAGAACGTCACGTGAGCCATGGCAACAGCGTGTGAGGAAGACAGGAGAAACGGACCAAAGACATGCGACAGCATCAGGCACAGATCGCTCGCTTCAGATAAGGACCGCATGCAGCCGGGGAAACTGTTGACCTACCGAAATAGATGGTTCCGTCCCGCCTGGTTCCTGGTTCTAGAGAACAGAAGATGGAACACCGAATCCCATCAGGTGCGACAGAAAACTACCTAGCATTTCCCCCAGAACCATACGGGACGAACCAGTGAAAAAAATTGTGGTCATCGGGTCATATTTGCTCAAGGCCGGAATTTACTGTTTTATAAGGGCAATCCAGCATGGCCTCTCGGTGCCGGCAAGGTGAAGGCTTGCGGCTGTTTTCCTCGGCGGACGCCAGGTGGCAGCTCGGTCGGCGCCAGCTGAGCGCCGCTATCGACCAGCTGCCGGGCCGGCATTACCATAATTTATCCGGTCCGCGGCGCGCGCTGATTGGCTGCCGCCGCCGGCGCGCGCGTCCCATTGGCCTCGCTTGTTTACAAGTGTGATATTGTGTCGTTTTCTCAACTTGTAATTGTCAAAATCGTTTTGCCGCGTGTACGAAGCCGGTGCTAAGCGTGTATTTACACAATAATGGTGGAAAAATGAGCGGGCGCGGTCAGGACGGAGCTGATTCGGGTGCGCCGCGGCGCGTCTCGCCGCCGCCGCCGGCCGCCGGCTCGGCCACAATCGCCGCCGCCGCGCTGCTCCCGCACACGGCTGCACTCGCCGCCATGGCCGCCCCGCCGCTTTCCACCTCATTTGCGACGTCCAGCGCCGAAAAGTCGCCGTTCGCGCTGTCCACGTACCCGTTCGGCCTGGCGGCGGGCCCGTCGGGCATGGCGGCGGCGGCCGCCGCGCTGGCGGCTCAGATGTATCAGCAGCAGCTGGCCGCCGCCGAGCTGAGCTCCTCAGCGCTGGGCCAGGCCGCGCGACAGGCGCTCGACGCGTCCCACTACCCCTGGATCACCGCACTCACAGGTAAGAGGCCTGCCGTCACTGTGTGCACTGTGTCCTCCTCACTGCTGTCTGCCGCACTGTCGGAGCGCTCCCTTTGTGCCCCTGTGCGTCCCGGCCGGCGGCGCGGCGGCCATGATGGCTGCCCGGCCCCTCCCGGCCCGCCGCTCGCCGCCCCTGCCGGCCCTACTGACCTTGTGTGCTGCTCCCCACCCCTCCGCGGTGCCATGCTTTGTCGGTAATTGGAGGCAATCTGACGAAATCGGGCCCTTCCCGCCCCTCGTGCCCCGGGGCCCCTCGCCGCGCCGCCTCGCCGCGCCGCCCGCGTGTGTCGGGATTCACGGGGACCCACGAGGGCTCACGAGGGTCCACGAGGTTTGCCCAGGCCCGTCGTGTCTTTCTAAACGCCTGAGTGCTTGCGGTTTGGTTCTGCATGAGTCGTGTGAGTCAGTCGTAAATTTGCAGCCTGATCGGTCGCTAATGCGCCGCCATTGTCTTCCGATGCAATTAGAGAGCAACTCTGGCAGCCGACCAGGAAAGGGCTGGCATCGCGCCCCGCTCATCGCATCAGCATAAATTCTGCAGCCTCCTTTCTGGCGCCCCAAGACAAACGTGGCGCTCCAGAGACAACCGTGGCGCATGCGGTTTCACCCGTTTTAGCGCCGTCGCTATCAGTGCCTTGTCCGGTTTCTTTTAGCGTTCGTTCGTGTCGCCATATTTGGCAACCGACTGCAAAGCTTTTCTAAGCATGTCGGCAGAGCGACACCCAGACATTACTGCCGGTCGTAGCCATTTGTTGTGGCCGGTCACGTGGCTGCACTGCGGCGAACCTGGCGCATACGTCACGGGCCGGCGGGGGTTCGGCCCAGCTGCCGCCTCGTTCATCGTGAGATCAGCGGCGGTGACGCAAGCAAAGCTGACCCGAACACGTGACTGAGCCGGGGGAGGGGGGGGGGGCGGCCGGTGACCGGTGACGCAGCCAGCTGCACGTGGGAGGGTCACTGGACGACGGGTCACGACCCCCGCCTCTCCCAGCCCCCCCCCCCCCCAATGGAAAGCAACCGGATCTGTCTCACCACGGTCCCACCTTTTCATGGATGTTGGGGCATACGAGTATTTCATTCCAATTGAACATGTAATTGTATTTGGCTTCTATTAGTTTTATATTGGGCGCCATTAGCCTCGTTGCTGGTGCGCCCTAAAACACCAAAGCATCATCATCATATTAGTTTTATATGGTTCAAACCAATTCAGTTTTTCGAAGGAAAGGGAATTGTCTATGGAATTCTTGAATCTTTCAAACATTTAAATCATCCAGATCAGATCCAAGGTGTACCCTTGTTTGTCAAGGTTCCCAGAGACATATCAATACATTGAAGCTGCAACCATGTTTGCAGCCTCCTCCAAAACAAATTTTGTTTTGAGAAGGTGAAATCGTCCACTTTGGCTCCTAAACACTTCCTATGCTAATGAATCGGAGACTTCGCCATTTTTTCGCTATTTGGTGCTGAAACTTAACTAATTTAGCCTTCTTGGCTCGCCAATTGTTACGGTGAACCGATGCACGTTTGCTGACATCCCAACTAGTGACCTCAAGCAACTACACAATACATATGACACGATTTAGATCCGGACTGAGAACCAAGGTGTTGCCATACCCCTACTACTTCCTCGCTCACTGCTCCATTTCAGTTTTGTTAGAAACTTTACTATATCTCTTTTATTTGTTCTTCCTCCTCCCACCCCATTTCGTACCTTTCCTCTTTGTCCCTCCTCCTTTCCCTCATCATCTGATATCTCTTTCTCCTTTCTCTTATCTTTTCTTCTTCTTCTTCTTCTTCTTCTTCTTCTTCCTTTTCCTTACCTTAATCTTTTTACCTTTCCTCCTTCTGCTGTTCCTTCCTCCTACCCACCCTCAACTGGTATCCGCGAGGGCGGAAAGCCGGCCATTTCACGTAGAAGACAGCAATGGCCCGCAGTCATGCGACTGCCGCCGCCTCCGTTGGTGCCGTTGAGGCTGGAAGAAGCTCTGAATGTTACCGTCGAGGTCGGAGAAGGCTCTAAATGTTTCCCGACCAGGGCAGGACCGGATGCGTGATCGCGATAACTGCTGCCACACTCTCATGGCCTGGCGCCAATTGGCCGATTTTGGCTCATTGCGCGTGCATTGTGCGCTCTAATAGGGGAGGAGGGCCAATTTGCCAGTCATTTTTTTTACATACAAATGTTTCAAACGTTTGCGGTTGAGGATAAATGGGCATTAGCGAAGCGCTATTACGCTTTAGGACCATTCCGCGCTCCGCTGCCGAGCCCCGGGGCGGTTTTCAAGGTGATGGTGTATGGCGTCTGCTCGGTTATGGGTTGCCATGGGGCTTGTTCCGTGGTCTTCAGGTCATAACTTTGGTGGCATTCTAGTCTCATAGACAAATTGCTATTCGTTTTATATGATGATAATCCCTACATTTTATCTAACGCGTAACATTTATACGTATTTCTTTAAATCCTGCATGCTGTTTATAATTGTTCCGGGTCACAAAAATAACTCTGGTTACAACACCGTGCCTCAACACATTCTGTCCTCCCGTGCTCATTACTTAACCCGCGCCCCGTAGGGGGGGGGGCCGAAACGGCCCCCCCTGTCCTTTTCGGTCGATATCTCCTAAACGGCTGGTGATATCGCCACCAAACTTTCAGGACCCCTCCGGGCATCAATTTTACACATTGTGACCAAAAATTTTTCCAGAGGCTGTGATAGGTTGGCCACAAATGACGTCAGAGTGACGTCATGTTCTGTCATTTTCGACCGAAAAAAGACCTTCGCGAGAAGACCTGTCAGGCCTACAGATTTGAAGATACAGAAAAATGATCAAGACATAAAAGGTGTAGAATTGACAGGGCTACAAAACTGCTATCTCGGATTTTTGAAATTTTTGAGTTTTGACCCCCAAAAATCAAAAAAGCATTTTTTTGGATATATTAGCCAAAAAATCCAAAAAGTTTTCTGAGTTTCGAAAAAACCGGAATATATGTGATAGTACCTACCGTCTTCTATCTACATACCAAATTTCAGATCGATACCTCGTTTTTTGGCCAAGTTATAGCGAAAAAACTGTTCAAAAATGATGACGTCAAATTTTCAAACTCAATTTTTGGCAATTCTAGAACTCGTAGAGCAAAACAAAGACCACCATTAGACTCCCCGTGACGAGCTGCATCGAATGGATACCCATTTTATGGAAAAATATCAACTTTGAAATTTGACCTAATTTGACCTGACCTTGACCTGACCTTCACCAAAACGTGACCTAGGCTGGCCCCAAAGGCTGCCTAACCCACATAATCGCATTTTTCATGTAAAATGGACCATAAAACATGTATCACACGACACATTCATATTGTGACCCCCGGTGACCTGACCTCGCTGTGACCTGACCTGGTATCAGTGACCTCAGATAGCAAAGTATGTGTTTGACGAACAATATACCATCGATGGTTTTCAATAAATTACCAATTTACTCGATTTCACAGCACATTTCTTGAATTGCCTGTGAACGGTGAAAATCTGACCTTTGACCTGACCTGTGACGTCATCGGTTTGACCAAGGTCAATGAAATTTGGTCACAAGGTAGTTCCCGGGTAGGGCTATCAAACGCCGTTTGAATTTTGAAAATCGGCCGGCAACTTTCCGAGATCTCAGGGGGGGGGGCCGAAACGGCCCCCCCCCCCCCTACGGGTGGTAGGGTCCGCCGGTAGCCCTACGGGGCGCGGGTTAAGTAGCTGCTTTGGTGTTGTGTCAGCTGTCAACAGTCAACGAGTCACATGCTGGAAACTACGGCAGCCCCAAGCTGTTCCACCATGCGCTTCTTTTCAAGCCCGAGCTGGCTCCCAAAGATACACATTTGGCTGCCCTATCACTCGGCACTGACAACAAGTCGGGATGTCGAGCTATGACCATTCCCGCGGCATGCCCTCTCTTAAATTCCGAACGGGTTTAGTGTCCGGCCTTCGAGCACAAAGCCGGGTCGCCGCTGCGGAGGCGGTATCACAGACCATCTGCGTCGGTTCGACGGCCCCAAACCGGAGAGCGGGCCATCGCCGCCCGTCTCGAGATGGTCGCAGCGACCGCTGAGCGGGCCCAGCTCGCCCGCTCGGAACGGAGACGGATGGCCGCAGCTCGACGGCGGCTCGTGCTGCTCAGTGACTGCCGCAGCTCGATGGCTCGTGCTGCTTGGTGACCGCCGCAGTCAGATGGGTCGCCGGGGTCGCTGACTGGTCTTCGAAGGCGGCCACCTGTTCTGTGTCGACCTAAAGAAAGCAGCAGCCCTGGCTACGGCAGCCATCTCAGGACCATCGGCAGGCTCAGCCGCTGTATCTCCTGAAAACAAAAACAGAGGTTTTTAACTATTGGCAATAATCAGCAATAAGGAGATTTTGATGTCGCGAATTGGTTACATATATAATGCAAATTTCAACTCAAACATCCCACCCCAAAAACACTGAACAAACCAAAACACTGAACATTCACTGAAACTTAAAAGATGACACATTTTATTTTTTCAGAAAAAAATATCGAGCTTTTTCCGGGAAACCGACTCAACAAAGTTTTATAGTGAAATCAACAGACAAATATTTTCCAAACTGTCTTTTTAACTTATCGCTTCAAAACTTGTCGCCTTTTCGTTATTGCATAACTGAAATGCACATCGTTCGAATATGATGGGCCATCTTTCCAATAGCATTTGCTCCAACGTGCATTTGAAAAGCTCAGGGTAAGGCCGCCATTTTCAGCAGCTGGCCCAAGACGCCCATAAGTATAAATAGGCAGGTTTATTGAATAGAGCATCCCCATAGCCAGACTTGAATTCATGCACCATCTCCTCTGAAATCACCATTCCCAATGCCTCCCATTGCGACTCTCTAAACCTTTCAACCAAAGGATGATAGGCCATGTAATTCAAATCAAAATCTGACTTCAAAATGATTCTTTTTTCCATTGTGGGTATATTCTTTGCTATCCACAGAC